ATAATCAATTATACAAATTATTATATAAATATAATAAATAATATAAAATTACATAAATAATCAATTAATATATAAATATACATATATTATTTTAGATAAAGTTGTACAATATATAATATTATATGAGATATTATACAATATCTCAGAAACTATTGAGTAATTGCCCTTATAATGGTACTCTTATAATACCCTTATAATTACCCTTATAATGGTACATTTTCTAGACCTAATAGATGAGTAAATTTACAAACCTGCAAAATTTCAACTAAATCATTTAACCGAAGAATTTGCACCATCCTTGTAAGCAGAAATGTGCACTGGAAATTTGAAATGCCTATGTATAATATATAACATTATATTCTACAATTTATAATATATAATATTATATGAGATATTATTATGAGACATTATACAATATCTAAAAAACTATTGAGTATTTGCCCTTATAATGGTACATTTTCTTGAACTAATAGATGAGTAAATCCACGAACCTGCAAAATTTCAACTAAATCAATTACCCGTAGGACTTGCACTCTCCTTGTAAGCAAAAATATACACTGGCAATTTGAAATGCCTATCATAGCAGCAACTCGACTCCATCGTGATACGGTTAGCTTCGAACCGTCCTGTCTGCAAAGAGTTAAGTAAAAAATGGAAGAAAAATCGATTTTCTTGATCCTAGATAGTAGATCACCTTGGTATACAATTGCCATAGATAATTGACGATATTCCCGGAGATTATGCTAATAATCGATCCCCGTTGGCAAATCGTTGTATCAACGTGCTCATCGGAGTATAGCGTGGTCAGCAGATCGAGCATATGTATCAGCGAACATGCATATGCTAAACGAGATGATAAAGTAGCGAAAGGTATCCAGAATTGGATGCTTTATTAATAGATCGGACGAGTATGATTTATCGTGGAGGATTGGAAACGAGGCCAGCCACGCGACATCGAGCGTTTAAACGGCTTTCGAATAAATTCATCGTCGCAACGTGTGCGGTCATTGTCCAGGATAGGTCGATCTGTTAATTGAATCGAATCGGCCGACACGAGGCGCTCGACCGTGACGTTATCTCATCCCATCGATAGTCTCGTAGACCAAAAAGGATCCCGAACGAGAGATTAGCGTAGGTACTGCTCTGTAGAGATAAACGTCCGAAGCTGGAGCACTAAAGATCTTAATTTATAGCGATTCTTATCCACCGACCCTAGGGTCAGGGCCTTATCTCGCTCGCTTTCGCTACCAAGCACGGTCCGGGACCCATCCGATCCGGAGTTTTATCTCTACGAACTAATAACCGAACGCTATTTCCGCGGAATAGGCTGACTTGCACCGAGAGAAAGCTCAGGACCAAGTGAAGGATCCCTTTGCCTCGGTTTGTCGCGATTGTTTTCGACTAGACGCTCTTTATCTCGCCCATTGCCTCTCCTCGGACAGACTCGCGCTGCTCCTCGTGATTATTTATTAGGACCATCGTCGTCGCGCCTCTGGGTTCATATGGGGCCATCCTAGAAACTCGGTTTAGGATATTAATGGGGGTTACAGAGGAAAGTTCGTACTCTTAATGCCTCAACGATTTTCTGGAAAGAAAATTTATCATTTGTCACTTATCGCGACGTTTAAAGGGTAATTCGACGACTAATTATCCGGGAATCTTATCACTCTTGTTTGTGCAACTAAGGGTTGCTAGGACGTCCATAGAAGACGTCGTAAAAGTTCAACGTACGTAATTAATTACCCTAACTGGATGACCTGAGGTATCAACGTTTACTCGAAGAAAATTGAATTTCATGTGCATTCGTGTGTTGCGTAGGAAGTGTGGTTCGGAGAACTCAATTTACTCATAATTATACAGTTTAATATTCTATTTTAAATTTTTCATTCAGTTAGCAATGCTATGAATAGCAATGTTTTGGTAAAAAGATGTCAATGACTTCCATTTAAAACAATAGTTGCATGGTGACATCGTGTATATCCCACTCTATAATGTTCTGTACAACTTGGGTCTCTGTTTTCTTTAAAATCGTGTGTCTCAAATGTATATATCTAATCACATCTCTCATGATTATATAATTAATGATTTGTTGAGGTAATAAATCTGATTTTTATGTCTGATGGTTTTGAAACCTTTGAGTGTACGTGTCTGATGATTCCTCGAGCAATCTTTTGTCAAGTTTGTTAAAATCGCGGTGTAGCTTTAGATAACTTATTGCCCATTTTGTGGCTTCCTGTTTAACAGATGAAATTGAGTCTTCTTTTCGTATTGCATCGTTGGTTATAAACCATGACACACTTGTAATTATGCATTAAACTTTTGATCGAAATCTTTCCGGAACTGTAATGTTAGAAATAGACACTGGGCCCCAAAACTCTGTCATACGTCCATGTCAATTTTAGTATGCATTTGTAGATGGTTGCTTTCAAGTTCAACGATAGTTTTGATTTAGGCTTCTAAGGGCCAGTACAGTTTATGTAGCTACATTCTGAGCTGTTTTCTTTTTTGACACGTGTTTTTTCCAGTTCAATCTGTCGCAAAAGTGCTTTCCAAGGTATTTGACAGATCTGCTACTGATATCGTTTTTGAATTTAGCGACGCTGGTGGACATGTACCTTCCTTAAGCGTGAAGGTTATATTAGCTGATTTCTCAGGACTTGCTCTGATTCTCCATCTTTTTCGTCATTCTTGAACATTATTTAGGGAGAGAGGATAGTTTGACACGTTTAAAAAGTAGAGCTATTTTAGACAACTAAGGAAGAATGAAGAAAAAGCGAACACTCGATTGATATAAGCTTGTGTGATTTATTTAAGGATATTATAAACTATAGTTAAACACTGTTAAGTTTTTTAATATAATCTCTGATTTAGCTTTGCGACGTCATTTTTCGGAATTATTTTCTATTTTCAAATGGCCTATCGGTATGCAAGATTTCAGATAAATAAGGTTAGTGACGAAAAAGATCAAAAAGGACTCTTGAAACTATAGCATAGTTAGCATATTCTCTAGACATTGACGTCAAACCATTTCAATTTCTACGAAAATTATCAAAATGACAGTTATTTGTTGTAGTCTCTGATTTAGCTTTACGACGTCATTTTTCGAAATTATCTTCCTTTTTCAAATGGCCTATCGGTATGAAAGATTTCAGTCAAATAAGGTTAGTGACAAAAAAGATCAAAAAGGGCTCTTGAAACTATAGCATATTTAGCATATTCTCTAGGCACTGACGTCGAAACATTTCAATTTCTGCAAAAATTATCAAAATGACAGCTATCTATAGTTGACCTATCGAACCTTCATAAAAAATTTCTATGTTTTTGTTAACAATTTTTAAATAATCGAACGTGCATCTCTACGGTATCTAGAATATACAGCGCAAGACCAAGTACTGTACGTTCAATAAAAGAAGGCACAGCGTGTTTACCTCCTCACAGCTGATTAATTCTTCTGACACTTCCTTGATCACATTGACCATTATTGGTCGAAAACGGTGACAAAGACCATCGGTCACTGTCTTGGACCAGTACCAGTCACTGTCTATGATCATGGAAACGTAGTTAGTCAACCGTGAGGATGTAAACACGCTGTGCCTTCTTTTCTCGAACGCGCAGTACTCGTTCCCGCGTGACACGACGAACATTCCGATACCGTATACGACACGTATCCAACAAACGATTACTCGACAGTTCTATTCGCACCTAGTCTTC